GGATAGATTTGTTGCAAGACCAACACCTACTCCTTGGGGGGGGGGGGGGGGGGTTACATAGCTTACACCGAAAATATCATTTTAAAGACTATACATTACACCCCCCCTCACGCAGACGCCTCGGGTAACTCACACCAGAAGCCTGCAAATGTCTGCATCAGCCGATTCCACCTGCAGGAAGGCAATTAGACGTCGTGCTGTACACCTCATCTAAGCACCGTGCTTCATGAAAAGGTTACACCAGCCAATTAGTAGAGAAACTCAGCCAAACGCTCATTAACAACCAAAATCTTCAGAAATTCCACCAGCTCAGAAAATTATATCACATCACTTATTGCTAATGTAACTGTTAAAGATCCCTTCAGTCTTCCACATCTTCCCGCTGTGTTGGTCCAGAAGGGGGTATATTAAACCCACCATATGACTGATTTTGCCCAATGGGGGGGAGGGGGCGACAAGACTGGTTCCTTATTCCAATGGCAAAAACGTTCCTATACTGATCTTTCATCACCGCGGAACGCATTTAACAGCTCTTACCGTAAAGGCGCCTTCCCATAATAAGGGTAAATCCAATATTCCCTGATTTACAAACGACGTCGTCCCATGTCTTTCATACAGCCCTTGGAAAATCAATTCTCTAAGCCTTCATCATTTTACCTGTTTTAATGTTTTGTGTCTTGGTCACCCTCCAGGGTTCATGAGTACGGGGGATCCGGCGGCAAAAGGTAATTACGGCCTTTTGGACCAGATTCAAGCGCTGCGATGGCTAGAAGAGAATATTGGCCATTTTGGAGGGGACCCAGAAAGAATAACCATCTTTGGGTCAGGAGCTGGAGCATCTTGTGTCAGCCTTCTCATCCTGTCCCACCACTCTGAAGGTCAGTACGCTCATCAATGGCTAGTAGACTCGTCAATGACCAATAAACTTATCAATGACCTGTAGACTCATCAATGACTAGTAGACTTATCAATGACTACTAGACTGATCAATGACCTGTAGACTCATCAATGACCAGTAGAATCATCAATGACTAGTAGACTCATCAATGAGCAGTAGACTCATCTATGACTAGTAGACTCATCAATGACTACTAGACTTATCAATGACTAGTAGACTGATCAATGACCTGTAGACTCATCAATGACCAGTAGACTCATCAATGACCAGTAGACTCATCAATGACCCGTAGACTTATCAATGACCAGTAGACTCATGAATAACTAGTAGACTCATCAATGACCCGTAGACTTATCAATGACCAGTAGACTTATCAATGACCAGTAGACTCATCAATGACCAATAGACTCATCAATGAGTAGTAGACTCATCAATGACCTGTAGCCTCATAAATGACCAGTAGACTCATCAATGACCCGTAGACTTATCAATGACCCGTAGACTCATCAAAGACCAGTAGACTCACAAAGACCAGTAGACTCATCAATGACCAGTAGACTCTTCAAAGACTAGTAGACTCATCAATGACCAGTAGACTCATCAATGATTAGTAGACTCATCAATGACCAGTAGCCTCATTAATGACCTGTAGACTCTTCAATGACCAACAGACTCATCAATGACCTGTGGACTCATCAATGACCAGTAGAGTCATCAATAACTAGTAGACTCATCAATAACTAGTAGACTCATCAATGACCAGTAGAGTCATCAATGACTACCCAGATAGCAAGGATAACTTGCCACAAACTTGTGTCAGGGTGAAATTTTAATTTTGTTAACTTGCTGCACACGTTCCTGGCAAGTTGTAGACTTGCAGAACACTCGCAGCACAAGTTCTAGGCGACACTTTTTGAATTTGTAGCAAATTTGTTTGGCAAGTCTACAGCAAGAGTCCTGCAGGTCTTAGCAAGAGCTCTGCAAGCTCGCTGGTCTGGAGACTTGCAATGCAGACTTGCTGTAATCGTGCAACAAAATTGTGAAGCTTGGCAAGTCTGCAAGAGTTTAGCAAGTCATTTTCAAACTTGCAGCACAATTGCTTGCTATCTGGGTAGTAGACTATTCAATGACCTGTAGACTCATCAATGACCTGTAGACTCATCAATGACCTGTAGACTTTTCAATGACGTGTAGACTTTTCAATGACTAGCAGACTCATCAATGACCAATAGACTCATCAATGACCAATAGACTCATCAATGACCAATAGACTCCTCAGCAACTCATCAATGACCCACACAGCCTGTGAATAACCAATGAAGAGGTCGCCTGACACCTATGAGGTCATTGTGCTTTTCCATCTTGTGGACAAACTGACAGCATGGGACAAATACTGTATACCGGTACTTACTTTACCTCTGACACATCAGTATGATGGGTAGGGGTCATAGGTCAGTTCCTTCAGTTGCTGCCTTGTCTGACTTCTCACACTGTCTCCCAGCACCCAAGTGTGTAAGAATCAGACGTATGTAGTTTATATTCCTATTAAAGTGACCATGTCACCAGACCATTCATTTCAACACCATTCTTCCCGTAAGATTATATGTGAAATGAATGTACTTTATACATGTTATTGGAGGGGCTTTGACATAGGAGGGAGGGGGCTATGACATAGGAGGGAGGGGGCTATGACATAGGAAGGAGGGGGCTATGACATAGGAGGGAGGGGGCTATGACATAGGAAGGAGGGGGCTATGACATAGGAGGGAGGGGGCTATGACATAGGAAGGAGGGGGCTATGACATAGGAGGGAGGGGGCTATGACATAGGAAGGAGGGGGCTATGACATAGGAGGGAGGGGGCTATGACATAGGAAGGAGGGGGCTATGACATAGGAGGGAGGGGGCTATGACATAGGAGGGAGGGGGCTATGACATAGGAGGGAGGGGGCTATGACATAGGAGGAGAGGGTTATGACATAGGAAGGAGAGGGCTATGACATAGGAGGGAGGGGGCTATGACATAGGAGGGAGGGGGCTATGACATAGGAGGGAGGGGCTATGACATAGGAGGGAGGGGGCTATGACATAGGAGGGAGGGGGCTATGACATAGGAGGGAGGGGGCTATGACATAGGAGGGAGAGGGCTATGACATAGGAAGGAGGAGGCTATGACATAGGAGGGAGGGGGCTATGACATAGGAGGAGAGGGCTATGACATAGGAGGGAGAGGGCTATGACATAGGATGAAGGGGCTATGACATAGGAGGGAGGGGGCTATGACATAGGAGGGAGAGGGCTATGACATAGAAGGAGGAGGCTATGACATAGGAGGGAGAGGGTTATGACATAGAAGGAGGAGGCTATGACATAGGAGGGAGGGGGCTATGACATAGGAAGGAGGAGGCTATGACATAGGAGGGAGGGGGCTATGACATATGAAGGAGGAGGCTATGACATAGGAGGCAGGGGGCTATGACATAGGAGGCAGGGGGCTATGACATAGGAGGAAGGGGCTATGACATAGGAGGGAGAGGGCTATGACATAGGAGGGAGGGGGCTATGACATAGGAAGGAGGAGGCTATGACATAGGAGGGAGGGGGCTATGACATAGGAAGGAGGAGGCTATGACATAGGAGGGAGGGGGCTATGACATAGGAAGGAGGAGGCTATGACATAGGAGGGAGGGGGCTATGACATAGGAAGGAGGAGGCTATGACATAGGAGGGAGGGGGCTATGACATAGGAAGGAGGAGGCTATGACATAGGAGGGAGGGGGCTATGACATAGGAAGGAGGAGGCTATGACATAGGAGGGAGGGGGCTATGACATAGGAAGGAGGAGGCTATGACATAGGAGGGAGGGGGCTATGACATAGGAAGGAGGAGGCTATGACATAGGAGGGAGGGGGCTATGACATAGGAAGGAGGAGGCTATGACATAGGAGGGAGGGGGCTATGACATAGGAAGGAGGAGGCTATGACATAGGAGGGAGGGGGCTATGACATAGGAAGGAGGAGGCTATGACATAGGAGGGAGGGGGCTATGACATAGGAAGGAGGAGGCTATGACATAGGAGGGAGGGGGCTATGACATAGGAAGGAGGAGGCTATGACATAGGAGGGAGGGGGCTATGACATAGGAAGGAGGAGGCTATGACATAGGAGGGAGGGGGCTATGACATAGGAAGGAGGAGGCTATGACATAGGAGGGAGGGGGCTATGACATAGGAAGGAGGAGGCTATGACATAGGAGGGAGGGGGCTATGACATAGGAAGGAGGAGGCTATGACATAGGAGGGAGGGGGCTATGACATAGGAAGGAGGAGGCTATGACATAGGAGGGAGGGGGCTATGACATAGGAAGGAGGAGGCTATGACATAGGAGGGAGGGGGCTATGACATAGGAAGGAGGAGGCTATGACATAGGAGGGAGGGGGCTATGACATAGGAAGGAGGAGGCTATGACATAGGAGGGAGGGGGCTATGACATAGGAAGGAGGAGGCTATGACATAGGAGGGAGGGGGCTATGACATAGGAAGGAGGAGGCTATGACATAGGAGGGAGGGGGCTATGACATAGGAAGGAGGAGGCTATGACATAGGAGGGAGGGGGCTATGACATAGGAAGGAGGAGGCTATGACATAGGAGGGAGGGGGCTATGACATAGGAAGGAGGAGGCTATGACATAGGAGGGAGGGGGCTATGACATAGGAAGGAGGAGGCTATGACATAGGAGGGAGGGGGCTATGACATAGGAAGGAGGAGGCTATGACATAGGAGGGAGGGGGCTATGACATAGGAAGGAGGAGGCTATGACATAGGAGGGAGGGGGCTATGACATATGAAGGAGGAGGCTATGACATAGGAGGCAGGGGGCTATGACATAGGAAGAAGGGGCTATGACATAGGAGGGAGAGGGCTATGACATAGGAGGGGGCTATGCTAGGGAATTGACTCTTACCATAGTAAACTTTTAGACTTTGATCATTTAATTCCCTGCATGGTTCTGACTACATTTTTCTGTCACTTTTCCTACTGTGTGGTCACCCGATGGAACATCATGACAGGCGTTGTCACCACAGACAATGCCCTTATTTTAGCTGGTGTCTGTTTCTCAGTATACCTTCTCTTTCTGCCTGCAGGTCTCTTCCAAAAAGCCATTGCGCAGAGCGGTACGGCCATAGCTAGCTGGTCGGTCAACTATGAGCCCCTGAAGTACACTCGCATGTTGGCGGCCAAGGTGGGGTGCGACTACCCCGACAACACTGAGATGGTCAGCTGCCTTAGGCGGAAGCCGTACCGAGACCTGGTGGACCAGGACATCCAGCCGGCCAGATACCACATCGCTTTTGGTCCCGTTGTGGACGGAGACGTTGTTCCCGACGATCCAGAGATTTTGATGGAACAAGGAGAGTTCCTCAACTACGACATACTGATGGGGGTGAACCAAGGCGAGGGCCTCAAATTTGTAGAGGACACGCTGGAGAGTGAGGACGGGATATCCGCCAGCTACTTCGACTTCACGGTGTCCAATTTTGTGGACAACCTCTACGGCTACCCAGAGGGTAAAGACGTGCTGCGCGAGACCATCAAGTTCATGTACACCGACTGGGCCGACCGCGACAATGGCGACATGAGGAGGAAGACTCTGCTGGCTCTTTTTACAGACCATCAGTGGGTGGCGCCGGCCGTGGCAACAGCTCGCTTCCACGCAGAGTACGAATCGCCGGTTTTCTTTTATGCCTTTTACCATCGCTGCCAGGCGGAGGGGAGGCCGGAATGGGGCGAGGCAGCCCACGGTGACGAAGTGCCCTATGTCTTCGGCGTGCCCATGGTGGGGGCTACAGACCTGTTCCCCTGCAACTTCTCCAAGAATGACGTCATGCTGAGCGCCGTGGTTATGACCTACTGGACCAACTTTGCAAAGACTGGGTGAGAGTTGGCTTCTCTGGTAGCTTCACATTGGTCACCTATCTTCCATCTGTTGCATGCGTCCATTGAAAGATGATGTCCACTAGTTACCCCCTCCTCCTCTGCACATGCGCAGCCTAAACTGCAGTGATTTCAATGGGAAGACCAACAGCAGCTTGCTGGGTATGCCCAATGAATTGGGGGGACGGAAGCTTGTACAGAGGCGCGGTGTGATGCTGGGCAGGCTGCACAACAAAAGAGCTATCGATACTCAACCTGAGCTTGGATGGGAGGGGGGTTTAATCCTCAGTTTGGGGGGTACTTAGTCTCATTTGGAAGGATACTAATACTCAGTCATGAGGAAGGGGAGGTTACTGAGCTTCAGTTGGAAGGGTAGTAATCGTCAGTACTGCAGCAGGGGGTACTCAGCCGCATTAAATGCTCTACAAAGACTGCAGGAGGCTGCAGACAAGAGTCAGTGTCCATAGGGAGAGAAGCTGTCCAGAAAATTACAGGATTGTACCCGAGGGTCGGTGGAGTAACAGAGGCACACGGGGCACAGAAAGAGTCACTGGACAACATAGCACACACTCATGAACACAGGGTCACATAAGTATTACTCGTTGACACAGGATGCTCAACGTGCAGTGGAGTCACAGGGGTCACAGAGTAACACAGAAGGCTCAGGGTGCTCTAGAGTCCCAGGGGGTCACAGGATGTTCAGGGTGTTCTGGAGTCACAGGGGTCACAGGATGTTCAGGGTGCTCTGGGGTCACAGGATGCTCAGGGTGTTCTGGAGTCACAGGGGTCACAGGATGCTCAGGGTGCTCTAGAGTCCCAGGGGTCACAGGTTGCTCAGGGTGCTCTAGAGTCCCAGGGATCACAGGATGTTCAGGGTGTTCTGGAGTCAAAGGGGTCACAGGATGTTCAGGGTGCTCTGGAGTCACAGGATGCTCAGGGTGTTCTGGAGTCACAGGGGTCACAGGATGCTCAGGGTGCTCTAGAGTCCCAGGGGTCACAGGATGTTCAGGGTGCTCTGGAGTCATAGGGGTCACAGGATGTTCAGGGTGCTCTAGAGTCACAGGGATCACAGGTTGCTCAGGGTGCTCTAGAGTCCCAGGGGTCACAGGAAGTTCAGGGTGTTCTGGAGTCACAGGATGCTCAGGGTGCTCTAGAGTCCCAGGGGTCACAGGATGGTCAGGGTGCTCTAGAGTCCCAGGGGTCACAGGTTGCTCAGGGTGCTCTAGAGTCCCAGGGATCACAGGATGTTCTGGAGTCACAGGGGTCACTGGATGCTCAGGGTGCTCTGGAGTCATAGGGGTCACAGGATGTTCAGGGTGCTCTAGAGTCACAGGGGTCACAGGTTGCTCAGGGTGCTCTAGAGTCCCAGGGATCACAGGATGTTCTGGAGTCACAGGGGTCACTGGATGCTCAGGGTGCTCTCGAGTCACAGGGGTCACAGGATTTTCAGAGTGTTCTGGAGTCACAGGAGTCACAGAGCGGATTACCTAGGGCTTTCTGCATGCAAATTGTCTATGTACAGCACCCTGCCAGCCCCTCCCACCAGCTATTGTGGGCGCTATATAAAAACCTGTAGTAATAATAATAGGGAGTCATTAGTTTGATCCATTGGGCCCCAGTGGTTACCCTTACTGGTTAGTCCCTAGCAAATGTATTAGCCCAACTGAGCAACTAAAACGGGTGCATGTGGCATGGACCCTCTCCATTAATCAAGATCACCTCAGTAGTCTTCTGATTGGATGCTGGCTCTCTCACAGTGTATTTCACCTCTCTGAGGAAACCGAGAAGGGTTCCCAATAAAGTTACCCCTGAGGGGTGTAGGAATTGTGACTCTGAAAGCAGATTTGGGAGATAAGACTGACATTTAGAGGCAATGTTCTGGCAGTGTAGGAGGATAGCTCAGCTCTCAGAAGGTCTGCAGCTACAGCAAGGATTGTGATGGTGGCATAGAGCCTGGGCACGGTCTGGAAAACACCGCAAGACGCGAAGTTGCCAAGCTACGTCTAAGCATGAAATATTGTGCAGACCGTCGTATTGGCCTATTATCTGTGTGTAGTGTATTCTATATTGGGGCACGGCATCTCAAAGTGGAGCTTAGAACTCGTAGTGCTTCCTGGAAAAACTGTCCTATTCAGGAACAAAACATTTTCCAGGCAGCTTATCTTGTAATTGACCTTTTTTTTGTAGCAATCCTGGAAGTTGATGTTCAGGAAAATATGGAAACACAATAACCAAAAATGTCCTGATAAAAGATGTGTCATTAGGAAAACCAAAAACATAATGCTGCAACAGTTCTGTTTTCCCTGTCGGCTGGCGGACCAGCTATTGTCCCACTGCCTGATCCACGCTACTCATCTACACTATATGGCTGGAAGTATGTGGACCCCCCACCAATCAGGGCAGGATGTCCCACAAGGCCAACCAATGCCGGGCCTTGGGGCAGCAGGAAGTAGAGGGACAGCAGGGGTGTGGAATTCCTATCTCCCGCTGCCTGGGACATGCAGTTCCGGGCGCCGGGCAGGTAGTGCAAGCAGAGCTAAATGTACAGCGGGGAAGCTGCCTCTTGTTATGATACCGGCGATGTATCTCCATGGAGGGGGGGGGGTTGTAGGGTAGGGGGGCGCATTGAGGAACCTGGCCTTGGGGCAGCAGAGAGAGTAAATCCGGCCCTGACCCCAATTATGGAGTTCAGGTGTCTCCAGTGAAGGTTCTGTTAACACTACATCATATATAGACATTGTAGACGATTGGGCTCTTCCAACCTTAACAGTTTAGTGAAGAACCTTTTCTGTTCCACCATGACTGTCCAAAACCAGCTCCATAAAAACACGGTGTGGCCAGTTTGGGGGGAGGAACTTGAGTATCCTGCACAGAGCCCCGACCTCAACCCTTCTGAACACCATTGGGATGAATTAGAATGCCAGTGGTGAACCAGATCTTCTGATCCAGTAACTGGCCTCACAAATGGGACAGAGTCCCACAGACACCCTCCAAAATCTTCTGCAAAGCCTTCCCAGAAGAGTGGAGGGTGTTATAGCCACGAAGTGGGGGGGGGGGAAGCAACTCCATATTAATGTCCATGGTGTTGGATGTCCAACAAGCTCCTAGAGTTGTGATGGTCAGTTGTCCACAAATGTTTGGTCATATTTTTGACCTGGCCTATGATCCTCCCCCTTGGCCAGGGCTTGACCAGTGAGTAGGCAGAAGAGACAGCCTCCTTGGGCACTTCATTGGCGGTGGATGCAAAAAGCACAGCACCTACAACCTATACTGCTGAGGTAGTTTACAGCTCAAGGAGAAAGAGTGCAGTTTGGCCTTTTCCCCTTGAGTGCTGAAGAACCTAATCTCGGCACCACCTTTGCCTGCCTGTGCAAAGCAGACTGTGGCACTCTGGGTACTCTGGCTGCACTGCCTATTGAATTGAGGGACTTTGAGCAGTCACATGTGCTGTGCCCTTGTTCATGGTTACACCCCCAAGGAAATGCCCATGCAGGCCCACATGGCTGGTTAGCTGCAAGGGTCACTGGAACAAGTAGTCCAGGAAAATGCAGTGACACACAAGCGGGGACTGTCTACCTTGTAATACACGCCCACGGATTGATATTTTTGTTTTTTAATTGCTGCTCTGCATTGTGTGACCCAATCTTCGAGAAGGTAAATAAAGAGTATGTAAAGCCCAAATTCTTCTTTTTAGTCTTGGATACCGAAAATGTCTATGTCTAGTTGACATAAAACACTGAGACAGTGGTCTCTGGAACAGGTGTCCCCATTGGAAGATTGTAAAACTGTAAAATTTAGGAGTTCCCTTCACCTCCTGCCTTGGGGGGCACCAAAGACAAACCGTAGAGAATAAATCTCCCAGACATCAATAAAAACCTAAAGTAACAGGTAGAATGAGAGCGCCAGACCAAGAAAAGTTTAGAGTCCATACTGGCGCTATCATTCTACCCGTTACTTCGGGATTTCTCTGTTCAGGTCCTAGCCCCTCCCCTAAGGGTCTCCTGATTCTTGCAGAAGAGCAGCCGCCTAACCTAAGCCGTTAGGCCCGAGCAGTGATTCCACCCCCTTCTCTCAAAAATTCTGTATCAATAAAAATCCTGTTCTAACTGGACTGTCTGAAAGGAAAACTCATACCAAAATGCCCTGACTTTGTATACTTTATAGAAATACCTAACATGCCAAAAGAAGCCAATATTCTCCTTTAAGGGACTCTGTCATTTCAGCCTTCCAGTGTTTGTCCTCCTGTGTGCTATGATCTAAAAGCATATATGTCTCATCTCATATCCTCTCTCTATTTCAGGGATCCCAACCATCCGGTTCCTCAGGACACCAAGTTCATTCACACGAAACCCAACCGCTTCGAGGAGGTGGTATGGACAAAGTTTAACCCTAAGGAGAAGCAGTACCTACACATAGGCCTAAAGCCTCGCGTGCGGGACAACTACCGCGCCAATAAGGTTGCCTTCTGGTTGGAATTAGTCCCTCACCTTCACAACCTGAACACGGTCGGGCACCCTTCGACCACCACGAAATTACCTCCCTACAGCACCCGCTGGCCAACCAGGATAACCGGTAGCAGTACCACCCGACGGCCTCATGCCACACCTACAACTGAAGATAATGGTGATGTGGTGGAGCGACCTCGATATCCCCCTTTCCCTGGAGTTTCCCGGGACTATTCAACTGAGCTGAGTGTGACGGTAGCGGTTGGAGCTTCTCTCCTCTTCCTCAACATCCTGGCCTTTGCTGCTCTTTATTACAAGAGAGATCGCCGTCATGAAGTCCGGCATAGGCGACACAGTCCCGGGCGAGGAGGAGCTCCCGGCAATGACCTGGCACACCATGGACCAGAAGAAGAACTGATGTCCCTTCAGATCAAGAGGGGCGGAGGAGCTCCTGATCTTGAGCCTTTAAGGCCACATGACATACTGCGCCCAGTTTGCCCTCCCGACTATACACTGGCATTAAGAAGGGCCCCTGAGGACTCTCCGCTTCCACCACCACCCCCACCTCCTGGCTCTGTCATGGCTCCAAACACCATCTCGGGCCTACCTTCTTTACATCCCTTCAATACATTCCCTACCACTGCTCACAACAATACCCTGCCCCACCCGCATTCAACCACAAGGGTATAGTGGTACCAGGCATCTCTCCCTCTGCCCATACGTTGCCCCATCTCCCCCTTCCTCTCGCGAACAGCAACATTGGGTATCTGGGCCTGCCAAGCCTGAGCTGGATTTTGCCTTATGGCAGGGGATGGGGGTAGATGAAATAACTTGTTTATTATGAGGGGGACAGAAAGGAACTACCCAGTCTCCCCATGCCCCTTCTCCTCCTCAGGCTTTAGAAACTGCTCCCAAGATCGACATTCAGGACTGTGACACCTGGACTTCATCTTCTGCCTACGTCATGGGGGAAACAGGGTCGAAAAAAACAAAACAAAAACAAAAACACGATGGGGCAGTTATTTAATGGGATGTAGGGAAAGATATGATGTTTTGATCCAATAAATTATACCCCCCTGTTGGGGGAGAGTTGCTAAAGGAGGAAGAGAGGCCTATGTGACTAGGCCGAAGCCTCCAACTGACTCAACTTGTACACCTGCTTTATTTTTATTCACGGACAATATCCAACAGACGGGGGATGTTTCGCTAGACGCAGGCCTCACACAGATAGCCTGCGTCTGGTGCGCTCAATGCACTGAACCTTCAAGGACTCAACTGCTCTTGAACAGCCGGAAAAAAAAATTGCCGTCACCAGAAGAGGGGAACATAAGAGCTGTCCCCTACAATGGAAAAAAAAAAAGGGGGGGCAGGGGGTGAATGTACACGGGGGGGGGGTGAATGCATGAGAGGCCAAAATAAGCCCCTCCCCCCCTTAAAAGAATACAAAACACAGTGCCAATGATCCCCTTTCCACCTCTTCGGCAAAGGTGGGCCTGCTTCTATCTCAAAGGGGGTGCTCAAATGGTAAAAGGTATATCGCCTCTCCACTGCCATAGTCCCCACGACCCCTCCGGGTGGATCAAAGGGGGGAAGGGAACTGTTTGTGTGCCAAAACAATAGTGAGGGAGTGTCTTATACAATGGATCTTTGCTCTCTATTTTCCTATATTACGTTTCGTATATTACGACCATTGCCATCATATTCTCTTGCTTCTTCTCACTCTCGATAAAACCCCCCCCGAGCAAGCCCCCCATTCTTTATGTCCTCCTGCGCCCACTTCTGTTCTTCTCACTACCTATAGTCCCGCCCTCTCTCTCTCTCTCTTTACCCTCTTCCAGCTCTTCCTTCACAGAACCCGGCTGGGCCCCCCTCCCACCTCCCACAGGGGCTAGCGATCAGAAGCACATGGAAACCAGCTATCCCGGGACACGGACATCGGGATAAGATCACAAGGAGACGGGAGTTTACGGGAATCATTGGCAGCAGGCTTTGATGTTTACAAGAAGATTAGACGGGAACGATTGGTCTGAAACAGGGAGACCGTATTATTTAATAGGGCACAGGGTCAACCAATCACAGGACCTCCAGTATTTTATACAGATTATACCTAAAGAACGAGGGTCGGTGCCTCCCCTCTGATGGGATAACAGTATTACACGCATGACTTTTTTTTTTTTGTGGTT